CTTTAAAGTATATTATTACTATTAATCTAAAGTAAGGTTCTAGTATAGAGAGAAAATAAGGGATAGACTAGACTATATAAAGTCTAGGCTATAGAAGGCTATATAGTAATAGTTAAGATGGTTAATAGTCTTATATAGTTTTATGTAATATATGTTAAACTATACTATTAAGATATAGTATAATTAGATTTAGATATTATATGACTTATTCTTTAAAAATAGTTAAATAAAAAAAGAAGACTAAAGAAAGGCTAGAGAAGAGCTATATAATAATTACTATATATTAATTAAGTATTTTTATTTTAAAAAAAAAAAGACTATAAGGAGTTAATAGAAAAGTTATAGCTTAATAATATAATTATAATACTAGGTGTTTTATATAAAGAGTTAAACTAAATAGAAATAAATAACTTTATTAACTAGGAAGTTTTTATCTTTATATTATATAATCTAAAAAAGTATAATTACCTTTATATTTATAAGATATAAATAGTATAAGAGATTAAGAACTTATTATTTAAGTTATATAAGAAGTTAAGACTTGTTATATAAGGGTATAGGGACTAAGAGAAAGAAGAACTCTTAACCTAGGTATCTATTATTTAATAGATAAGCTAAAGGCTTATACTTACAATTAGACTTATTTTTATGTAAGACTATAAATATAAAGAGGAACTTAGAGATATAACCTAGGTATATATATAATCAGATAATCATTTAACTAGGATAATTATTGTATAATTACTTAAGGAGTTAGAAGATAAATACTTTAAGAATATACTTCTTTATATCTTAAAACTACTATATAGCTTAGTAGAGTTAAGCCTATACTAATATAAAACTTATTTTAAGTATTATAAAAAAGATCTAAAAATAATAGAGTTAATATATAATTTATGCTTGCTATATATAACAGAAGGACTAGATACCTTTAGGATTATAGCTATATAAATAGATAATATACTTAGCTTTATTATATTTATTTTTTCTTAGAGAAAAAAAGAAGAGCTAAGAAGAAAAGGACTTTATATAAAACTAAAGACTATTTTATTACTTAATAATGAAATTAACTTTAATAGAGAAAGGATTTAATTATATAATAATTATATTACTTTTACTTAAAAAGGCTAGGTAAAGTACCTGAAACTTGTTAATTTTAATATATATAATGTATATTAGTAGTATATTTTTTAAAGGGTAAGAGGAGTATATTTTGTATTTATTTGTTAACTAGAGGTATTATATGACCTGTTAACTGTAGCCTAAACTAAGGAACTTAATAAGAAGGATATTAAAGCTTTGAATGTATAACTTTAGTAGTAAATCAATAACTTTATATAAGGTCTTATATATATCTCTTTTGATTTTTATTATGTAAAGATATATATCTTTATAGATAAATTATTTGTAAATAACTTAGATTTATTGTTATAACTTGGATTTATTATTATATTAGCTGAGGAAATAGCTTATATAATAATAGACTTTTAGATTAAAAGAAATATTATATACTAGAGTTTAATAAAATATAAGAGAGTTATATAAAGTGTACTTATAAGTAAGTTATATAGGATAACTATAGGATTTGATAGTGGGATATTTCTTAGTATGATACTTATTAAGATCCTTTGTATATTATAACTTCTAAGGATTTTAGTTATTATTTGTTTAGACTTATGATTTCTGTATAAGTGTTTTATATGACTAGGTATAATAAATAAAAAGAGGCTTATGATTAATATTATAAGTCTATATAAGTTATATAAAAAAAAAAGATCTTAGAAGTAAGATAGATTAATAGGAAAAATAACTCTATTAACGTTTTTACTAAGAAATTACTAAACTTAGTATTTAAATAATTAATTATAATAAATATATTAAAGATTTAAATTAAGGTATATATTAAAAGATTAAAAGAAAATATTTAATAATTAATTTATATAACTTTATTATTATATATTACTAATTATCTAAAAATGAGGTATAACCTTAAGAAAATATCTAATATATTTAATTACTATTAATTCTGATTTTAATATTAGATTATACTTTTATTATATTTATAACCTTTTTGAATTATTATATTATATAATTTATCTGATTATTGTATAAGATTTCAGGGAAAAGAAGTTGTGTAATTACTCTTTATTAATAACCATAAGGCTAGTAAAAGTGCTAAGGAAGCAACTGCCCTTATTAATGTTTTTATTAAGCTTATTGCTAGGCGTATAAGACTTATAAGCATTAGTGATATTAAGAGCTTTGTAGTTACTAGGGCTGTTGTTGTTATCATTATTATTATTATTGCCTAGGTTATTAGACAAATTAATATCTTAACTATAGTAGGTACAGTAAGTGTTGTGTAACTACTAGATACACTTAGCGTAGGTGTTATTTTGAAAGGTAGGAATATAGGTATATTAGTAGAAGCATAAGAAGTTAATAGTTATATATTTATTGTTATAAGTAATAGTTATATAACTATAAGACTAAACTAAGACTATAAGAAAATAGTTTTAATAGTAGATAATATTAATAATAAACTGCTAGATAAAAGTGTTGCTAATAATGTAAATCTTAATATTATGTAATAGTATATTAATAATAAGATGCTCCTTATTCTATAGTTAAGGTTAATATATAAAGATAAGGTAAGAACAAAAGTAATATATATTAATAGCTAAAGCTAATAAAAGAGTATAATTATTAGTATTACTAGTTAAAAGATAAAGCTAATGATTACTAGATATATTAGTATATATATTGATGTTACTAAAGATTAAACTATTAAAGGTAATAAGAGATATAATAGATTAATTATATAAGGTGTTATTAATAAATTAGTAAGAGGAAATATATAAAAGGAAATCTTATGTATAAGAAGTTATTATTAGAGTTAATTAAGGAAAAAGAGGAAGATTATTGTTAATTAATTATATAAAAAAATAATATATATAAAGAGTAAAAAAGAAAAAAAAAAGGAAAAGAAAAATAAGTAAAAAAGGTTTTAAATACTTAAACTTATTATATAAAAAAAGAAAAGTATATTAATAGTAGAAGTAGAAGTAAAGTTAATAAGGAAAGAAGGAACTTTACTAATATATAACTTGTTTATTTAACTAAGTAAGAAGAGAATAAATAGTTACTTAGAGTTTTAATATTAGTGATTTATTGTATTATATAAATGGTTTAACTTATAGGGTTATATAATAAGGTTATTAATGTTATAATTAGTGTAACCTGATTAGATATTGTAGGGAGTTATATAGTTATAAAAGAAAAAGTTGTGAGTGTTGGAATAATAGTACTAGCTGGTTATATAACATGCATGACTTAGGGATATATATCATGGTAGAGGGTATAGACTAGATATTTGGCTCTTGGTTAACTATTAAGGGGATCAAAAGTATATTCATGCTGAACTGACTTAGGGATATATAAGATCATATATTTTGTATATGAAAGCTAAGTCTTGCAGTTAGGAAGATAATTACGGAAAATATATCTTTGGTTTACCTTAACTTTAACCTGAGTATGATTATACAAACGGGTTCTCTCAGGAAGAGAGAATCCATTCAACAAATTTAGAATATTAGTATAAGGTTAACTAAGAGCTTAGCCTAGAGTGCCTATAGATAGGTAGAATAATTTAATTCTATGGTAGGATTATGTTGAGGGGTCAAGAGGAAAGAGCTTACCTTGTGCTTATTGCAGCAGGGTAAAAGCACGTAAGCGTAGGGCTCTTACTAAGATCACTAGGAATAGCCTTACTATATAGTGAAGATAATTTTGCTGTAGCTACTTGACTTATGACGTAGCCTTTTATAAAAAAAGAAATTACTGGTACCTCTGGCATAGGCAAAAATAGGCGTAAATAGAAGTACTGTACATTTTGCTCCTTTTACAAGGACATTATTGGCTACTACCCTGCACGTGCAGCTTTATCGCCGTCGAGGGGATACCTTGCTCTTAAAAGCTCGTTTGACGTTCGTAAATTTCCTCTAGCCCTGCCGTAAATAGTCGTAAGCTTACCTCTATGTTTCATTATGAAGTCAAGCATTAGTCGACTGGCTTAGCAGACGACACTTAGGCCCCAACATTGTTTAGAAAGCGTACTAGTACGAAGGTTGAGACCACCTACACTAGAACCGTTTTTCTCACTGTGGCCGACTTTGAATATCGCTAGTTTGGGCAGTGGGACTTAGATAGCCACTGACGTTTCCCTCTTTTCTTGAGGTGTTCCGGTTGTGGGTAATTGATGTTAGCTCTCATATACACAGGTCAGCTTTTGTTCATAAAACCCTACGCAATGAGAATATAGATTACTGGTTGCTCTATACAAAGCTTAAACCAGCATATCTTTTAGTTCGACTACTCGAAAAACCTTTCCAAGGCAGTTCGGCTTGTTAAAGCAAATATTACACTAGTACAACCTTGACGGAAGTAAATCAATCCTAGCAAGTATTGAGTATATACTCAGGACAGATTTTGCTAGCTAAATACATGAAATCTAACAATATGTGTATGTTACGGTCAGATATCCGACAATGATGTTTTCTGCTAAAAAGTAGCTGAGATCGATACACAGCAACAGTATGTAGGTCTCGTTGGTAGTCTTGGTAGTCTGTTGATGTCCGTGATCAGTTATACAACTCGAGGAATGGGTAGCGAGAATAGCTTCACAACAGAGGGATAGTTAAGAGATACTTAGAAGAGATTGAGCCATGAGTTGATTACTGGAGAGTTATGGAAGGTATCTAACTAGTTCTTGGTGTGGGATCTTACATCAAGCCTCCGCCTCGATCCGTTGTTGTTGTTGTGTGATATCCTGGATGTCAGGTGCGATGATCCAAGAATCGCGGCCTACAAGTGCTGCGCCGCTCAAGTAATCGACTTTGGGTGGAGCTCATAGCCCTGTATCTTGTTGGGCCGTAACACCTGGCATCTAAGACCACACAATGTCCGCCACAGTGACCACTTATCACAATACCCTCGCCGCATTAACCACCGCCTACATTCCTGATATTGTTCTGGGCACCGTCGGGAAAAATTTGGCACCATCCCTTGGCGTTTTCATTGGACGGGTCGTATTGGTATTTCGTTGTTGATCCGTCTTTGAAAGTAACAAACATGACGGCGGTGTGAGAGTGCATATCACCGTCAAAGTACATCCATCCGTTATCCTGAACGACTCCACTTCCGCTCTGGGCGTTCCAGCTCCAGTGGCCGTTGTTGCTGTTGTAATAGCGATAAGTGATTGCCGGTTGAAAGTTGAGATCAAAATCGCTGTGGTAGCAATAGTCCGCGTGGGTAGGAAGAGCGGTTGCTAGAAGGAGCAAGATACCGTGATAGAACTGCATGGTGGAAACAGTTGTTGTACCTGTATCTGTACGTGTTAGGATAGTTATAACAAATTTGAATTTATTAACATACGAGATGAACTAAATGTGCGTTTGTTGGTAGAGGTTTGAACCTGATAAAAGTCTGGGGCAAGATCTTTCCTATTTCTTGAGCAGGACATGTTAAATAGTAAACTTGAATGCGCCTGAAGTCTACATTCCAAGTATACACGTGTAGTTAATTAGTAAGTTAAGGCTCTTGAACACCTATGGATCAAACACGTGTTAATCAGACAAATGTGCGAGGCAGAACAGGCCCGATTGAAAGAAATAATACGTACAGATTCAGATGGTTAATTGAGACCCCACTCCTTATGCTAGACGACAGGTGACAAAAACAATGCCTTAGGGCTAAGCGTAAAAGTTAGTTAGAGTTCGGGGGTATTCTATACTACAATCGATCTATCTATTGCTTATTCCTCTAATAGTAGGCACAGTTGACCCCGTATCGCGAGGTAATATATATTAAAAGCTGGAACTCTCGTTTGCTTTATAAGCCTATCGCATGGCATCGCTGAGAGCCTGCCGTACACAGTAGAGTCATGAGGTTGAAAGTGGTTTGTATTCTCTAAGTGTATTTCATCGCGAGGCCGCTTATAAAATCAGGGGTCGCTGACAAAGCTGGGCGAGGTCGCGTGGAAAGTAAAGGTGGTCCATCTGGGCAGAATCGACTTACACCACGATAATAGCGTGGCAAATAGAATGTAAGAGCCTGCTTGGCACTTTACGAATGATAAGACAAGTGACGGGTCGACAAGTTTCAGGGGACAAGTGATGTAAGGCAGCCAGCTACTATACCTAGCCTTTTCCCCCGTCATACAGAGACTTCCGTAGAACCCGTGGTTTACTGACTGACCCAATTAGGCGGTATGCGAATGAATCTATACGCCCGCACGCAATGCCGTCCGAACCGTTAGCGCGCTAACCTCAAAGCTCCGTACACTTATGCCTCAATTATTGAACTTTAAACTATCAATAAAGGCTTTGAAAAAACCTCATTGCTAATCTCGTTTATTGATAGTATCTTTTAGGTATATAAATGCCGCATTGCAATAACTCTGTTAGATATAAAGAGCTCTCTGAAACCCTCTTATCTAGTATTTTCAACCTAAACCGTGAGTCTTCAGGTTCGTTACACTTGATATACAGTCCTAAATTCAGTTAATGCCACTCGCTTAATTAGAAGTAACGGTGTAAAGCAACTATACGTTACTGGTTCGCCTAATATGCTATCCTGGTAGCACCATGTTCTCTCACCGCTTGTCAAATTTCTCCGTTTATACTACACAGATACCTTGAATCTTATCGATATTTTATTATTATCTTGATTAGGATGTAGCAGACTGAAGAGAAAATTGTCTTTAACTCTTTTGTCAGTCAGACGATTGACTATTCATTTGAATACACTGTCGCAAAAAGGTTAACGTATACGGCAAGAATACGATTTCCTTACCACTCTTCATTGGCCATGTCCTGTTGCGCAAAACAAGCAACAACAAAAGAAATTGGATCAGGAGGACGATGACGAGGGCTTGGAGACAGTGTTTATGTTTATCAGTGGGGGTGGTAAATGGGGCTTGACTCAACATATTGGTGCAACGGGCCTCAGATCAGGCCTAGTCTTTAAACAGCAGAATTTGGCAGTAGCTAGGTAGTTTCGGATTGCATTTTGCGGCTAAAGCGGATTTGATATGGGTGACGAGTCAGGGATCAACCAAAGAGACGTTCTACTTCGGCCGGTTGTTTTAGCTGTTGGGCCGCACGTCGGCAGCAATCGCCTTTGCCTATTCCCACTTTGGCGACCGTAAGGTGGACTTCAGCCTATGCATCCATCCAAATGATCTGTGGGCTTGCAACACATACTGAGACCACCTTGCAAGTGTTTCCATCAACAACACCGACTTTGTCCAGCTCCAAAGTTGGCTCTATGCACTTAATGGTAAAGGCTCGAGAATGGCAGAAGCTCGTCATTCAGGGCGCTTCTAGGTTGAACTTATCGGACCGCGTTGTCGAAGACCGAGCTAATTTCATCCCTGCCCGTCGTTCTTCCAAATACGGCATCAGCATTCGAAGGGGTGATTGGCAATTTGTCGCTAGTACAACATGTGGCCGCTAAGTATTGTGGGTTCGCCCCGCACCCTCCGGCCTAAAATGCCGGTTTGACCCCTTTGATTGTCCAAATGACCACGTGTATGTGATTGAATCAGCGGCATGACGCCGCTGATTTTACTGCAATGGTCGCTGCTATGCCCAGAGTTGGCGGCTCCGACTTTGGTCCGGTCGGGCGCCAGTAAGCTCCTTTCACAGTACATAGAGCCGAGATTATTCCCAGAGAGGATTCTTCTCACCTTGCGAAGATTGAGTACGGGTTCCGCAAGTATCTTGATTTGTTGAGGCTGCTGAGCCGGCGTAGAACCAGCGCCTACTCTTGAGAACTTTTGCCATTATCTCAACCTATGTCTTTCCCTGTCGTTGTTATGTAGAAACATCGACAATTAGGAGGTATAGTAGTGATTCCTTGGCCTGCTAGTGGCTATCGCCCTGCCTATGCCCTCATGGCTGTTTTCGCAGGCTTGTGAGGAGCGGCACAGGTGAGGTTCCCCTCTGATCTGGTGTCAGGTGTTGCAGCGTCAGCACCAGACAACCCTAAAAGTCAATTTAGCATTGTAAGCTCAGCATTTGAGTATGGACAAGGTTCAACAGCCTTCTTGCAACGTCAAGTAAGTCTAGCTTGGTGGAGACCCGGCCTGCACAACAGGGTGTCATCTTTTATAGCTGAGCCTCCATGGATCCAACCCCTGTTTCGTATCCATCTTGTCTTGCTGCAAATAGGAACAGCCACCAGTCGAAGGTTTTCTCGAGCCGGGGTCAGAAATCGCTTGCTTGCCTCGTATAATCAGACTATCTCTTATAACACTTACCGAGAGGCTTGAACAAATGAGCAAGAACACGCTAAACTAATTAGTCCACCGCTAATATGTTCGGAATAGGGGTTTCCCAATACTATGTGGGGTTGTTGCACAATTTATAATTACAAGCCTGATTTATCAAGAACGAGTTGGAGGGCTACTTAGGGTCACATTGTAGGCGTCGTTTGCCTTGCCGGCGGGATAATATTCAGATATTCAATCCGTGGCAAATACAGATCACGTATCGGCCTTGATTTGTGTGTTTTCAGCACGAACAGTCATCTATCCATTTAAACCTTTCAATTTCCTGGCTTCTCCAAGTGAGCGTTAGCCGTAGTTCTTTTCGTGTTGCGCGAGGAAATGAGAGATGAAATCGCCACAGCTTCCCAAGGCTTCAGGCTGTTTTAGACTTTGCACATCAGTTAGAGGTGGGTAGTCAAATGAGCGAGTAAGGCTGCAGCTAGTATCCTTTCATCAATCTAGGCGACGATGGCGCTGCGAGACCAGTTGAAGTCCACCTTCTGACGCTTGTCCTCATGCTTTTGTTGATTTGCAACGGAATTCATTGCTGCCCTTTGTTATCTACAATGGCAAGTCACTGTAGCAGCAGTGGTTCCCCTTAGATATTAGTCCTTTGCTGAATGGGAGTTCATTGTAACAGACAACGGCTGCACTACAGATGCTAATGTAATTAAATGGTTGCAAAAAGCGTTGATCCCTTAGAATACACCAGAAGATAGGAATGAGCCTGGGCTGCTAATTCTAAACAGCCACAACAGTCATAAGACAAAATACCGTATGTGGATATGCTATATTAATAACAGATATCCACTATTTCTGCCGCTGAATACATCACACGTCCTCCAACCTCTAGGCCAGTCAGTCTTTGGGCACCTGAAAACAGCCTATAGGAAGGATCTGGACCACCTGGCCCAGTGGAACTTTTCAACTATTTTAGGCGAAAGGGGCTTCATAGGCTGATATCAAAAGGCGCGCTTAGCTGCCATGACAGTCAGCAATGTTGAGGTGGTTGGAAAACAAGTGGATTATGGCCTATGTCTCTAGCTAAGCCGATAATGGTTCGTCTCCTCTTCTATCGGATTCCATTTACATTACCTCAAGAGACAGATAGAGCCTGTAAATCCCAGTCTGTATTTGCTCAGGCTGTCGATAGCAGGGGTTCTGCAACATCTGCTGTATCATGGTAGGCGTCCAAGAAGACTGCTGATCTAGAAGATTAACTAAGGTGATCAGCAAGCTTGCTGACAACGGCACCACACGGCGTCTATTGTTCAGAAATGTCCAAAGGGCTTTAAAGAGCAGGCTTTTCAGTTGGCTGCTACCCAGCAGCAAATTCGGCAGTGACAGACGCAATTCAACAACGCAAAGAATAGAAAATTCAAGATATACCCTACTACAAAGTTCGCCAACACCACGAATATCCAGCAGTCTCAAATTGATGCTGGCAATATTGAGGATAGTCTAGATGAGGCCAGCGAGTCTGAATCCCTTAGTGAGGCAAAGACGTGTATTGTGGTCTGTGGTGGGCACGTTATATAGCTAGTTGTAATTGATGGTTGTGTTGCGATGCTCTTGTTTTATGTCAACGTACACTTGGAAGTTTATTTTATACAGCGGGCCTGATAGAGTGCCTCTGGCCTTATCTTAAAGACCAATCCGTACGAAGACGGGACTTGGTTATTGCGTCGTGGTGTCAACAGCCCAACTTGATAGGTTATGTTTTGGATAGAGGCCTTGGCGCTATCTTTGCTGTAAAAATGGAAATTGAGGTGCGTTGTGGCGGTTGGTTTAGCGGAATGATTCTGAATCAATCACGCCTACTTCAGTGTCACCTTTTCTCTTCCGCCCTCTTGTTGCATTGTTTCGACGTCAAAAGTTGCCCAAACTGTTGCGTAAATTACTTCTCTTCGCTGAATCATATAGCTAATGCAAAACTCCTAACCCATTCGGGTATCCACTCGTGCGCCCTATGTTGTACAAAATCCTAGCTATGTAGGTTATGGTACACTAATCATAGCAGTTAGTGATATAATTTAGCAACGTCTGCGTCCGCCCATCATTCCGCCGCCTCCCATGCCGCGTCTGCCAAAACCGCCCCCGCCGAAGCCAGAACGAGGACCCATTCGGCCGCCGCCGCCCATCATTCCGCCGCCGCCCATGCCGCCACCGTGGTGGTGGTGGTGGGTCTGGACAACCGCCGGGCGGGGCCCGCCCATCATGCCGCCGCCGCCACCGTAAGTTCTGCGTCTGGATCCGCCGAAACACATATTGATATTCTGAAGTTTAGGCTTATTGTGTGGTGGTGATATGTGACTTTTGCAGGCTCGGAGGAGTGATTTGTTTGTAACGTAGAAGTTTAGTTATGGTATTTGTGTAGTAGTCAATGGGTTTAATTGGAGTTGAGACCGTTTTGGTCGGGAGTTGTTTGAAGGTGTTTGTGTTTCTTGTAAGTGAAAGGCAGAAACAATCTTGCTCTTCGTGGAAGAAACATTGTTTCTTATAGATGCAATTCCTGAGAAGCTCGCCAGCCCAGCATAATGCTTCAGAAGCCGTTGTGCGTCATTCCGTCCCGACTACAGAGCGCTAAGACGCCAACCGCTCTGGTCGGCACTAGGATGGGGTCACCAACTTGGCTTGTGTCATGAGGGGCCGCGCAATCGGTCTCCACAGAAGAACCTGGACCAACGTCACAGTGAGCCGCATTGAAATGCCCCCAGATCGCCAAGCGGCTCATGCCCCAGTGAGCTCCATGGCGAAAAAGGAACCCAAGGCTTATGCCAGTGGATTAACGTGTGGCTTGTCAGCGCTCAGCCATACCTAATACGCTTTGCAACAGTTGCATCACGTTTGTAAGTGCTGAGCCACACCAACTGACCCTCAGAGTTTCTCAACCATCGCCACTTCCCGATACTTCACAAAGGACAAGCCGGGCAAGTCACTCGAGCGTCGTAGGCGTGTGGCCAATTGGGACCGCCAACCTTGGAAGCCGGTTGGACGGCATTCTGTCCACGCTTGTGGTGGTCCCAAATTGCAGCGATAAGGCTTGGTGTCTTGGCCGACGTCTGTCCGTGGCCGACGTCTGTCCGTGGATGATGTCGATCCCCTTCATCCCTTGAAAGAGCACACCTTTTTTGCATTATCAAGGAGTTTGTGGACGAATTCTGTCGCCCAATGAGTTGTTTGGCTATTAAACGTCATCTGGAGGCTCGAGCGGATCCAGTTGTTCTAGACCGGGAGGCCAAGACCCTAAGATTTGTCGGGGTAGACGAGGTGCAAGGCTCGACGAAACGTCCAGGGCTTTTTCAGGGACCATTAATTGTTGGACCAGGACCCCTTTGCATCCATGTTTTTCCCTGGATGACGCAGGTCGTCCCATTTTTCGGTCACAACTTTTCCCGACGACAATGATTGCGTGTTTGCTTGCAAGCTATCACTGACAAGAGTCTAGCCATGCTTAAAGCTATTTCTAGTTCTGCATCAGCCTTAAAGAACATTCCAATAAATCCGATCAAATTATCCTTCATAGCAAGTCATGAAAGCAGCAGAAACATAAACATCTCGGTTTGACGCGCTCTCCACTTGGACCGCGGGGGTATCAACATCAGACTCCGTTTGGTCCCATGTATAAGTCCATCGCGAAGTATGGTGCTTTGAATGAAAAACCCAAATGCTTGTGCTACCAGACCACTGCCAAAAATAATTAGGGACTTGCCTTTGCGAATTTGGTAAAAATGAGCTAAGGTGTAAGCCAAGCACTCTCACTCTCTCAATGAGCCGGTTAATTTCCTTCTTTGGGTTCAATATTACATGCAAGCGTCCTTGAATTCTATGCATCACTAAGACCCGTTCTCATCAATGATGGAGTTTCCAGGCATCAAAGTATCGATTGGTAAGCTGTCATCGACTTCCACTGTCGTTTACCATAGAGTATTGGAAAACCCCGACGAAAGCAGCAAACTATGAGCGACAGTAACTTCTTCTGTAGTTAGCAACGGACTTGTGAATTAGAGCGTGTTATTTACCAAGAATGGGGCTATATAAACGTCCAAGGGCTTTATCGTGTACAAGTAGGGCCTGATTGACTGACCCAAGTCCTCAGCCCGAACACCCAGCTTGACGATATCATCATTCTACCTTTGATAGCATGATGTACGTTCTTAGTTCCATCCACTCAATACTTCCATGAGTTGCACTCAACTTGTATCACTCTGCATTCAATTTTACTTAAAGTTTCATGGAGGGGGAAACTTTAAATTTGTTGTTGTGCCTCGACAATTCCAGCTACAGTCCTAGACAGTATTCTCAAGCTGCATAGCAGAGTCTTTAATATGTGTTCCTATTCTTCTTGTCTGCCATCCAGTGTTTTAAAGACGTTTTTGCGATTGATTTCAACCTTATGACGTTTTCATGTATGTAACGATTCCATGTAGAGGCGAGGGAGCTGGCATATACACCCGTCCCATATTCCTAAAGGTCAGTGCGGAAATCTATGGGGCAAAGTAGTGACCTTTACCAGGGTCAGCACAGAGTCAATGCACTAATATTTCAATGTAAGGGAACAACATCCAAGTATTGGTACGCTAGACAGAACTTGAAGAAAAATTTTCCCTTTTATAATATCATCAATAGGTGACTGGTTCTCCTCTGAAGTAAAGTGCACTCTTCGCGACTTGGGCATAGTGTTTGCCAGGATGAAAATCATGCCTTTAGGCGTTGCCTGGGGCTCTTTAAACAGCTTCATGTAGCTTTACAAAGGCCAATGGTTGGAGCTTTCTATGCACTGGTTCACCAGGAACACAAACCTATTGGCTTGTCAACTATATCCTGGAATATCTTCTGTTTCTATCTCCTGTTTCTATCCTCTGCTTTATATTCGCACCAACTTTCAAGACTCTGGAAAAGGTATGCATGTTGGCGCCGGCTGCGTAGCAACCCATTATTGTCGTTACAAGATGAAGATGCAATGGCCGTTACACACGTCGGGATGCATACTCGGTGCAATTGAATCTAGGCTCTTGGTGACTCTGGTGCAGTGCAATAAATGCCAAGGGGTTTGTTTCCCTGGTTCCACCCACAAAGTCTTGGCACATTTCTTTGCAACAATACCCTACTTCGAAACTCTGGCGGAATTGATCCACATTATCATCTAAGGCAAACCCGACGAAATCGGACTAAACCCCTGCAGACAAAAGCTCTCTATCTGAAAGGCAAGTCGGTCCTACCGACCATGCGATAAAGAAAAACACGGGGTTTTGCATCTATTTAAGAAGAAACAGACTGATATCTGCTATAAGATAGTAAAAACTTTGAAGTCAGACTATATCTAGGGGGTCGTTAAGCTTCTATTTGTGTAGTAGATGTCATCGTGTCTTTCGACGCATCAAGGCATTACGGACACATTTAAATAGCCTTACAACCGTCCCACAGCATCACTGCATCATCATCATCACATTCATTTCAGTATACTGTTATTTCAGTTTTACTTCTTCAGAGCTTGCTCCTATCTTCTTTCTTCCTATTTTCCACTGCAAGTCGGTTTAACAACCCCCTGCAAAGACAGGATTCTTCTTTTCCCTCCTCAAACATATCATTGTTCATTCGTTCATTATGAAGAACACGAATTATGTTCTCCTTACGCTTCCCGCTCTATCGATGGGGCACTACCTGTTCCCCAGCTGATGCTCAACGGACAAGCGACGCAAGGCTACCAGTACGTACGTGAGCATGACAACGGTTTTCAGCCGTCCTGGAACGACGGCAAATTCTTGCAGAGCGATGACATTCGCTGCAACAAGGGCTCTGAGAACCACGCCAAGAACACCAAGGCAGCAAGTGTCATAGCGGGACAGGATGTTGTTGGTTTCACCACTAATATCCATACAAAGATTTATCACCCAGGGCCGCTTACGGTATGTTTGGATGTTGTTTTCTGTATCTCACCTTAGTGGCTCTTCCTAACTTTAAACCATACTTCAAACCGCAGTGTCCCTCTTTACTAACCTACTTCCGCGGAATAGATTCTTATGTCCAAGGCGCCGGGGGATGTCAGCGACTATGATGGCTCAGGTGACTGGTTCAAGGTGTACCAGCTCGGCTACAAGTCAGACTGGAACGGATCCGACTCTGGCTGGAACTCATACGGCAAGAATAAGTTTACGTTCAAACTGCCTGCTGAAATTCCTCAGGGGCAGTACCTGATGCGTATTGAGCATATGGCCACACACCCGCCTTACAAGGCCAAACAGTTCTTTTTGCAGGTGAGTTACTCCAAGACCTAGAAGTGATCAACTCCATGTTACCACAGGAGCCATAACCGCTAACTAGGTGTCTACCAATGCAGTGCGCCCACCTCGATGTAAAAAGTGACTACACCGGATCTGCTCCGGACTCGACTATCAAGCTCCCAGGTGGTTACACCATGGACAGCCCAGCTATTCAGTTCGATAGCTGGGCTGATCCTCGTCCTACTTGCATGACCATGCCTAGCCCCGACAAGATGTGGCCTAACGACAACAACTTTAACAAGATGTTGGACAATGGTGTGATCTAAAATGGGGGTCAAGTCCTGGAAAACGGATTGGGTCTTTGTATTGAGGTTTTATCTGAGGATTGTGCGATGCATGGGATTGAACTTACCATAACTGTACAAGATTGTTGTACAAGAATAAAATGAATTTCACAAACAAACAAACATGACGCTTCATATCATCTGGGAAAAGGATCCGTTGAACTGAAGGAGGTTGATCTGAGACTGGCATTGTGGTCATAGAGACTCTCCTTCTCTCTCTATAGAGTCTTTAATTTCTCAAAATCCGTTGCCGGCCAGATTGTCCAAGCTTTTTGTCATAGAGTCACCACTTAGGGTGGAAAAGACATAAGGAAAACGGCTTAGATTTCTATGTACAGGATTGCTTTGTCTAAAACGAATAAATATGTATCCTGCGTGGTAGATCTATACAAAGGGACCAGACTAATAGTTAATCTAGGCCTGGCGCAAATCTTATAAGGCTATGTAATGCGTATAAGGGCATTATGACACATTCCCCTAAGCGGATTAATAGATTTTAACTATTATATATTTAATAATAGTTATATATAAAAGAATTACCTTAAAAAAATAAATAAAAATATAAATACTTATTTTTAAAGTAATAAATATAAAAGAAATAGTTATATAATATTATATTTAATTATTAATAATAAAAAAACTACTTTTTTTTATTTTATTACTTTTAAATAATTTAATTAAATTAGTAGCCTTTAATTAGCTAATTAATTATTAAGTTAAGTATTTATTTTCTTTAATAATATTATTTTCTTTTAGTTTAATAAAAAAGCCTTTTTTTTTCTTTTTTTTATTTATAATAATAATAACTATATATTTAAAATATTATTATTTTTATTATATATATATATATTTATTTATATTATAAGCTTTTTATATAATATTAACGTTTAAAAATAAATACCTTTAAAATCTAATAAAAAGGCTATTATATATACTTATATTACTATAGTATATATAGCTTAACTTAAGAGGTATAATAAAGTATATAGGGGTAATAGAGAAAGTAGCGGCTTCTTTAATCCTTTTAGTAACTAGCCTATAGTTTCTTTTTCTCTTATATATCTATTCTTTATCTAGGTCCTTTATATCTTAAGTGGTATTAACGTGTAAAAGTAGACTCCTTTTACTAGAGGCTATAGTAGTAGGGAGGTTAATATTAAAGAGAACGGCTTATAGTCTCCTTTTTTAGCTAACCTCTTTATAGGTACTGTAGGTAAGGATAAGGATAATTCAGAGTTACCTTTTTCCTTTAGCGCTTAAGTCTACTTTAATATAGTTTTAAGGGCCTTTTATAATTAATAGTTAACTAGTATATTATATTTTTTTTATTTAATTTAAACTTTTTATTAATTTTATTAAATAGAGATAACTACTTTTAGGTTTATGCTAAAAGAGGAGATAAAAGAGAAGAAAAAGAATAAGGAGAAGAAGAAGAAGGTATATATTAGGACCTTAGAGCTTGTTTTTTAAAGAGACTTTAAGTGCTTATAGTATGTTTAGAGTATACTATATAGTAACTCTTTAGGTTAGTATATACTAGTAAATAATAGCTAGACCTTTAAGTATTAGTGTTATATACTTAATAAGACCTCTTATATTATAATTATTAAGGGTTCTAAGCTTTATTATTTAGCCTAAGAGTTTTTAGTTATAAAGTATAATAATATAGCTTTAAGTATATATTTTTATATATAATATTTATTTATTTAGTTTTAATTATTCTTATAGGTTTTTAGTTAAATAATTAGTATATTATAAAGTTATATTATATTTAAGTAAACTTTTCTTTAAAGGGATATTTAGTATAGTATATAAAAGTATAGTAAAATAGTACTAGTACTACCTAGTAGAAATACACTAATTAGTCTAGCTTTATCTAGTAGTCTTGCCTTTAGTATAGCTATTATTGTTATAAATAAGGGTTAAGTAGACGTTATTTAGGCTATAATTAATAGCCTTATTAGTTAGTTAATGCTTACATTAATTATGCCTGTGTATTAGCTCTTTATAGACTAATATATAGTACTTTTAAGGGGTTAGTAGTACTAAAAAAACTTTTTTCTTAGGCTTTTATTAGAAGTAAAGGCTTATAGGCTATAAATAGTAATTTTAAATAGCTTATAGGTATTCTTTTTCTACTAATACTTTTTTTTTAGTATATATAATTTTTATTTATATGTCTTATATGTTAAGGAGTACTTTAAAGTACTTAAATTTTATTCTAATAAGGTTCTTAGTAAGACTATCTATTAATATATTATCTATTAGTATATATATAACGTTAAATAAACGTTTATTATATTCTTATTAAAGCTATATATTCTGAATGTTAATGTGCTATAAGTAGATTAAAATTTAGTTATTTTTGCTTATAATAAAATAAATAGTTTAATTATTATTATAATTAATCTTTTATATATTATTAAGCTTAAGTTATATATTTTAAAAAAGACGCTTAAAAGTAATAGTTTTTTTTATAATATACTTAAGGCTAAGGAGCTTAGCTTTAGTTATTAATGTTATAATAATATTTTGCTAAGTAGCCTTTTACTAGATTAGACCTCTAAAAAGTAAAATAATATATTCTTAGGATAATCTTTGTGTCTTATTATTATCTATAAACAAAGTATTACTTGTAATTAGTAGTGTCTATGTATTCTTTAAGGTACTAAAGTATATTACTAGGTATTAAGTATAATATAGGTATTTAATGACTTAGTTTACTGCTTGTTAGTAGATATATAAGAGGTTTATTAGGAATTATAAAAGTAAGGCGTATATAAATGTAACGTTAGGTTAGATTATTATTATAGTATAGAGGATTAATCTAACCTTCTCTTAGAAACGCTTTATATTAGCTAAGGTTATTTAAAGGTTATTCTTTTTAGATGTAACTGTTAGTAATAGGGTAGTTAGTGCCTTTAAGTTAATAAGGTTAAATCTTTTAGTAATTTGCTTGATGTATTAGTTGTAGGCTAAATAGATCTTTTGCTTTAGCTGGTTATATAGGATCTATATACCTAGATACTATTTAGCTAAGCCCTAGTTTTTTACTTTATATATTATTTAGATTCCTTTTATAATCTTCTTTATGTCTTTTATATAAGACTTATAATAGAGTATAAGGATATTATTAATATAAAAAAGGAGAAGTATCTTCTTGTTTAGGGTCTAAAAAAGACATAGGTCTTTACTTATAGCCTTTATTTTAAGATAGTATAAGGTACTTAAGAGTTCTTTATACTAAAGGAAAGGTATATCTCTAAGACTATAAAGTATATACTATAATTTAATGATTTTATCTAGTATTTTAAAGTTATCTAGGAGGAAGCATATAATAAGTAGTTTATTTAGTCTTCTCTTAGCGTTTAGAAACGTATTAACTACGTTAAATTAGTGTATCTTAAGGTTAAATTTAACTATAATAGCTATTATAATATAAAAGGTCTATACTATAAGTATTATTATATATATTTATTTAAGAAAATACTTTTCTTATATATTACCTTTTATATAGATTTATGTTTTATAATAGTTAAAAAGATCATCTTAGTTTATCTTATATAAAAAGACCTACTTTAAGAAAATCAGTTTTTAAGTAACTTTACTTTAGTTTACTACTTTCTAGGTATTTATCTACTTAAGCTTCTAAATCTTAGTTATTACTATTTATAGAAAAAGGTCTTAATATAGCTAAAGAAGGTTTAGAAGCTTTTTTTAGTTTTTTAGTAAAAGTAGTAGCTCTTTTTTTTTTTTTTTATTATATAGTTTTAGTATTTTTTAGGTATACTTTACTTAAATAATTAATATATAGATATAACTATAGATTATTTAGTGTTTAGTAGTCTTCTTATTTAGTATTTTTTGCTTTTTTAGTAAAAAGGTGTTAAAGAATATGTCCTAGTTTTATTCTAAATATAGGAATATAGAGAGGTAGCTAGTGTTCTTTGTCTTATTAGATTAGTTTATTGTTACTAGTTTTGGTAATAGGCTCTATTAGCGTTAGTTTTACTAGGTTAAGGTATTATAGTTTAGGCTATTTTAATTACTAGTACTTAATTTTTGCTTTTAGTTAGTGTGGCTTATAGATGCTAATCCTAAACGTATTATTAGTTCTTCTTTTATCCTACCTTCTTTGTTTAGGGGCAAATTAGTATAAATAATAATCTTATCTTTAATTACCTTAGTTAAGTAATTAACTTCCTTAGATTCTAATATATCTTTATTTATTATAGCTTAGTCCTTGATGGTTATTGTTGTTCTAATCTCTTGATCTAGGATGTCTCTTAGTTTAAGTAAGGGTTTAGGGGTTAATAGCTATTCTTTTTATTAGATATAGTTTATTTTATAGTTACTTTATTTCTTTTTATTTAGAAATATTATTCTTAGTATAGAAGTAGGTAATAGGGGCTATTATAAAGGGTGTTCTTCTTATAGGATTAGAGTAATATTAGTTTTTGTTGAATGGATTCTCTCTTCCTGAGAGAACCCGTTTGTACGATCGTACTCGGGTTAAAGTTAGGGTGAACCAAAGATGTATTTTCCGTGATTATCTTCCTAACTACAAGACTTGGCTTTCGTACACAAGATATATGATCTCGTACGTCCCTGAGTCAGTTCGGCATGAATATACTTTTGATCCCCTCAATGGATAACCGAGAGCCGAATATCCAGTCTGTGCCCTCTGCCATGATGTGTGTCCCTGAGTCGTGCGTGTCGTACAACCAGCTGGTGCTGTTATTCCAACACTCACAACTTTTTCTTTTGTGACTGCACGACTCCCTGCGGTGTCCAATCAGGTTGCGCTGATTGTGACATCAATAACCTCATCGTACAACCCTGTGGGTTAGGCCACTTGCGTTGTACGATAAATCACCAATATCAAAACTCCAGGCAACTGTCCATTCCCTTCTTGCCTGGTTGAGCAGGCAAGCCACGTGTTGGTGAAGTTCCTTCCTTCCTCGTTGACTTCACTTCTGCTC